TCAAAGGGTATAAGGGTATAAATAACATTAGGTAAATTAAACAAAGAAATATGGATTTTTTATAATTTTTATTACAAAATCTTTATCGTTAATACATAACATAGTCTTGCAATTATATTAATTATATCAGCCTTCAACTAAATATTTGGTACTGGTTTGATACTACAGTAGTGTCCCTATTATCCGAGGTAATGCGTAACAACCTTTTATTTTTAAATGAAAACAATATTTTTTTTATGAAAAAAGCGATGCACCTACGCGCCCGTTTTAAGTACCGTTTTAAAACGGCGAGTTTTTTCTCACTATGTTTGTACCCTTAGGGTACTTTCAAGGGCATCTCGATACGATGCTTGCCGCGATGCATCCTACGCGCACTTACTCGCCGTTTTAAAAAGTACTTAAAACGTACTTAACTATGTAGATATCCTAACAATATTAACAAACAAATAAAAAAGACGCCTCTAGTATCAATTTCTTTTTTACAAAAAATATATTTAACATATAATATCCAACGTATTCCTGTCCTTAAATTTTTGTCAATCATTATAAATCCATCCAAAAAATAATCTTTTATAATTAAAAATACTAATAAGAAACAATACATTTCTTTAATAAACTTCTTGTATAAAATATCTTACATTTCAATTTTTTTTTCTTAATTGTGAGATCTATAATTCTTTATATAGATATTTTTTTGACTAATTAATATCCGTATTCGCGTTCGCCCATGTTTAAAAATTGATATTCCTACTGACCTTCTATTTATTATCTAGTACTATGAATTACAGAGTACAAAACTACTGTTCCGTAGAATATATCCTAAATAAACATTATTTCCAAAGGTTCAAATTCAGAATACTGAGCGTTGAATGTCGGTAATAAGAACAGTTCGTCCTATTGCTGCCGAAAGTCATTAACTAACATTTTTCCGAATAACCTGAAATTTCAATCACTAACCATATTTTGAAGCGGAGAATCCATTGAAAAAGTCATTAACTACGATTTCTGACTATTTTTGCTGTATTTTAATACCGAATAGTCACTAACAAAAACTTTATGCAATATAATTAATCTTTCGATGCGTTTTTCTCGGAAGTAATAAAAAGTAAGTTGGTGACTTTTGGCAGCAATAGGACGAGTTATTATTATATTATATATTATGATTCATTGATAACATAGAACGTAGTTGGTACTAGTGTTAGCTAATACCCTTGTTTATATTCTTAATACACAAAGATAAATTTTTATGGGTAGGTTCTTGATTTAACTGTTAATATTAATACTTTAACTGATTTTGACAGTGAGTAGTGTGTGATATGAGCAAAATATTCGACAACAAAAATAAATTTTAATTACTTAAATACTCATACTGATTGATTCACTACAAAGATGATTCAGAGGTAATTGAGTTTTTGAAGGTATATTCCAAAACTGACAGTTAAAAAATAGATTTTTAATAGTACATGTAGATCTGTGCGAAGTAAATAGTATAGTGTAATCCGTATATAATGGACTCGAGGGGACCAAGAAATATAGTTTATTATAGCAGAGTGTCCATTCTGTGAGTGTGAGATCACAAATTAAATATATACACAATTAAAACACTGCATTCTGATGCTAAACAAGTATAGATACATATATCATACAGTAGAAAACAGCAGAAAAATATTAATATTGTTATTACGTAATATTATATAGGATATACATATAAAAACACTAGCGTATACCCACGATTTCGTTCGCGTCGAATGAAGCATTTGTAATGGGATGATAAAGCAAAGCAAGAATTTCCATTAACATACAAATTGGATAAAATTTTCTCACATTTATGTCAGCATGAGAAAAAACAATATGGCGATGTTATTATATAACTTGGTAATATTTGAGGGGTAGTTTCATCTCGTTGGAATTTGACTTTCGACAAATCCGTTTGCCAAATATATGCTTTTTACGTCAAGCAGTTTAAGCAAAATGGTGGTTAATCGATTACCCAACTTTTTGGAACATCCTGTATGATTTCTTAAAAAAATTCAAAATATGTAAAAAACAAAATAAATTATGCGTGTCCAAGTGTTTTCCCGAAAGACTAACCGTTTTTTAAATAACAAATATTCTAATATTTGATGGGCGTTTTCACCCTCTTGGAATTTGAGATTCGAGAAACCCCTCCTAATTGAACCTCTACACTCAATGGTCATATTTTATGAAACAACCTGTATAAATTTTTAAAAAATCTTAAAATATGTAAAACAACAAAATAAAATATACATGTTTCTCCGAAAAACTCACCGGTTTTTAAATAAATCAGTTTTTTACGTCAAACGCTTTAAGCAGGGTCGTGATTAATCAATGGCCAGATTTTTCGAAACACCCTGTATACATTTTTAAAAAATCTTAAAATATATAAATTTTAATATATATGATATATAAATATATAATATTTTTTAAATACAAAATATTGTAATATTTGAAGGGTGGTTTCACCCCCTTGGAACTGGAATTTCGAAAAATCCCTTCTTATCGAACTTCTACACCCTAGAATCAACCTGTATGCCAAAATTGAGCTTCTTACGTTGAGTGGCTTGAGCAGGATCGTGATTAATGAGTGAGTCAATCACTTAAGAATTTTATATATTAGTATATATTATTTCCAAAAAAACTCTATTTTGCTTTCAATACACGTATTATTTCCCATTTTTTGTTTTGTTTTGAGTTTTTACATACAAAATATCTCAAGATCATTTAGAGCGTATATTGATTTTAGTAAACGAAGTTTAAAAATTGGCGCCGGGAGGCACGTATAGCCGCCCATATTAAAATATGTTAATAAAAAGTTGGTAGACAGTTCTTTTAGTTTCAAAGTAAAGGAATTTTTTCAATTTTGGTCCGTGGTTATTTCCCCTATCCGCCATCTGGAGTCGCGTCCGATGGGAGTTTGGAGTTTACACTAAACACGACTACGGAAACACGGAATATCTCAAAAATTGCGACTTTGACTGATTTTGATGTTATTACAAATTTTGTTGCAAATATTATTCCTAATCTTAAATTGAAAACCGCGTTTCGCTAGCTACTGTAATTTTGGAGTGTGATCTCGGGTGTCCCAGTATTTTTGTGCCAAATTTGGTTAAAATCGGTTTAGCGGTTTTTGAGTTATCGTGTTACAGACGGACAGACATACAGACACCATGAAAATATTTTGTATTTAGGTCATTTATGACCCAAATAACTCATTTTGAGTGAAATTAAATAAACTTTTTTTTACCGATCTTAATAGCCTACCATACCTGTTGGTATGGTCGGCTAAAAATTAACGTTTTATTAAATTTTGAAAAGCTTAGAGACTTATATGACACTCCAAAACAATAATCACAAAACAAAAAAATCTTGTTTGTTATGATCAACATTTTAATCCAGTAATGTTCCCCTACAAGCAAGATTCCATTGTAAGTGCATAAATCTTGTCCGAGGATTTTAAATGTGCTTGACCAGAAACTTTCCATTTTAAGTTAGTTAATTGTCGATGGATTATACATTATATATAAATTTTAGGTCAGTACTTATAAACAAGTCCATTATATGAAAAAGTCAAATACATGAATTTCTGTTTAGTCTTCTGTATATGAAAATGACATTATTCATTTCTAAATAATATTGTTTTCGTATTGATACTACGAGTACGGTTCTTTTTAGTCAAGTCAAGTTTTTTAACTGTCTCATAATAAATTCTTATACTAAAATAAGACTTCAAAATTAATTTGGCCATTAAAATGGGATGCTCATTTAATACTTCATCATCAAACATGTGGTCACCAAAAGCATTAAATACAGAAGTAGGCAAAGTGATCAGCGCTTTTGTCACCAACAATTGCACTAAATTTGCACATTTTTTATTAAAAATATTGATTGAATAGCGGAAAAACCTAAAAAACTTCTCGGCTGCCTTACAAATTTCTATCACCAAATTGTTTGCTTTTATTAGTTTTCCATAAGTTTTTCTCTCTTGCAGATGTGATTTGGAAATATCACTTTCTAATAGAAACAAACATTTGGGACAGGTGACTGATTTTTTAAGTCCTTTTACAACAAACCCTGCGATATAGCTAACTATGTCTTCGACATAAACAGTAAGATCCCAGGCTGTTGTATTTAAATAATTTTTGTCAATTTCCTGTTGCACACTTTTATCAAAGTTTAAACACTCGTCACTTTGTTGTAAGTCACCTGCCTCTGTATTTGATAGGGTATTGCCGGACCCACATGTTAATACTGTGATGTGCTCCAAATTCACAGCATTTCCAGAATTCGGACCAGTAATTTCGGAATGGATCAATAATCTTTTATATGATGCCTCCAATTGCCTCGCTGTAGGGTTATTGTTAAATCCGCCCCTGCTGCGAATCGCCCCAAAAAATAGCTCTAAATGATCTTGCGACATTTTTTATTAACCACATATGTATCATACATTCTTTTAGTACTCTCTATACATACTAAGAAACCCAAAAAGCCTGTTTTTCGGGCAGACTTTAAAATTGGTCTACCATTAAGGGTTAGGCCAACGATATAGGTTTTCATTTGTTCGAAAAATTCAAAAAACATTGGAGCCGTTATTTGAGAGAATGGCCTTTTATATGCATATTTTGCAAACCTGTTACGGGAATTGAGAATATCGAACAAATTATTGAAATATAATAAAAAGTTTGAAGTTGCCTCAGAATCTATGAATTCTGGACAATTCATATCTTTTTGTAAAAAAACTAAAGCATCACTGACGCTTTTACTTATCGTCTGTGTGGCCAAACGAACTTTCATTTTTTCACGGTACCACTCAAGATGTCTCATTCTTAATTTTGTAGCTGCGTGTAGCCCTTCGACATTCTGCTTTTCAACTAGTTGTGTTATGTACTCCCATTTAATTATTTTGTTATTAATGTCCTTTATAACTGATTGTGTGGCAAGACAGTTTCTGATAAGCTTTATCATGTGACAAGCATCAAGCATTATATATATATGGGATCATGCGTAATAGGGTGCGCAAACCAAGATTTTAAATTAAGTGGGTCTGAAAAATCTGCACCTAATTTCTCGCACATTGATAAATTGGTTGCTGCACTATCAAACGTGAATGATGTAACAACAATGCCACTTTCGTGAACAAATCTTAGGCATTTGTTAACCAATCCTGCTTTTTCGCTTGACGAAAGCCCATCTATTAAAATGTATCCAACTGGTACTTTCCACGAGCCATTTATGCATACTAGCATAAATACGAGCGCTTCTCTGGCCTCTGGTAAAGTATCGTCGTCGATGTTGGTTCCGATGTCGACATATCCGGTGAACTTTTGCCCTGTCCATTCCACTTGGCGTCTTATGGACATTTCGTCCATCACCAAATTGCACAGTAGTGGCTTGGAACAGTCTTTTTGTTTTAATTCAAGGGCCTTAAGTGACTCTTGAGTAAACCCAGGACCTCCATCAACAGCTCTAAACCATTTGGAAATAGTATCCAAATGGGGTAAGGAATTATTAAATGTATTCCTCACTAAGGAATAGGCCTTGGGTGAGTAAAACGATAAGGTTAAAGCAAATGAACGGAGCTGAGGATTATATTTTTCTGTTGTTGGCCCTTTCAACATTCGTTCAAATATATCCAGAGCAGATCCTGAAAGTGATGCCTGAAAATAAAAATAAATTTATTAAAAATCAAATATATCTTAGTTCAAGTGACTAATGTTCAAATATCGATATATCTGTGTTGGATGAACCAATTTTAATAAATATGATGTTAAAAAGTGCATTTGTGCTCTCCTTGTGGAACTATAAATTGTAGGTATAGTAAAATGACTAGCATAATAGCTGGCATAATGACTTTTAGTGCTCACTAGATGTGTGTTCTCTTTATTTTAAATTCTCCAAATAATGCTGATTATTTCCAAAAAATCAAATGACATGCTAGCATGTTTATACCGGGTGTTTCTTAAAAGTGGCTCACCACTATACTTTTTTCAACTCCCGTCGTATTTTGGTTATCCTATACCATATCGAAAAGATGAAAACAGAGTCCCTTAATGGCTGCCAGCAGTCAGCAAAATATTACCCAAACATTTTTTTAAATGGGATACCCTGTATATACATTCTTTATTATATTTGCCTTGTTATGAGCTTTCTAAAAATACTCTACTTATTTTTATAAACGAAGTAAAAAATGTATTATTCAACTTTTTAACAGAGACAAACAGTTTAAATTAGGTACTTATCAAAACAATCGAATAATACATTGGACATCAAATTTTGGTTATTGGTAATTCCATGCAAGTTTCTGTTTGTGAAATTATTGCACAAGTGCATCAAAAAGATCAATACTATAACTAGATTGACAGCGTGTGATCTAAAAGCAGCACAAGTTCATTTTCAATGCAGCTTATCAAGATAACACGACGGAAAGGAAAGTTTCTGGTTAAATTAAATAATAATACTTTTAAAGTAGGTTGATTTATGTTAAAAAATAATGCATGTTATTACCTTATTTTTGAAAATCACTAGAATATATTACATTTTTAGAAAGCTTATGATAAGACAAATAGAATAAAAAAATATACATGGTGTCCCATTTAAAAAAAAGTTTTATTGTTTTTTCGAAAATAATAGCTCCCAGCGAAAGTTAAAATTAGGTACGCCAGTACATTCTACGAGACTCAGTTTTCACCTTTTTGATAAGTTATAAGATCCAGGATACAAAAGGGGTCAAAAAATGCAACATTTTAAAATTCGCCCTGTATTTCAGGGACTAAGAAGGCTAGGACAAATCTGTGTGTAGCATCTTTAGTTTCATAAAAAGTGATGTATCACATGCACCCTTATATCTCTACGAATAAACGAGAAAACCATAAAACCCACGAAATGTATACTATAGGTACCAATATGGCACTTAAAGTCCTTTATCTTTAGTTTATTTAAGTGAGACTATAATAATTTGAATAAATATTAAATGTAATAATGTAAATTGATATTCCCATAGAATGTTCCCTAAAAAGTGATTTACTTATTCTCTATCACATCCCATTAGTATCCTATTCATATTGTAACATTTCTGAAACATTGATAGACAATTAAATACTCGTTATTTAGGATAACAAATAATATTCAATAACAATTGCACTAGGATGTTTAACCATTTAGAATCACAAACTGTAGAAATTGACAAAATATTAACCAAATTATATAAAATACTTACTCTTATTGTGGATTCAGACGTCTCCGTTATCAGACATTTTTCTTTTAAATAGTTAAGTAACTGCTTTAATAATAGTTAAGTAACTGCTTTTTTTTTGTGGCCGGCCGTAGCTCCAGCGTTAGTGTGTCGATCTGCGGAGCGGAAGGTACTGGGTTCGATCCCCAGCCAGTACGGTCGCTTTATTTATTTAAATAAAAATATTTATTTATCTAAATAGAGCGACCAACGAGCCGCCACCTCAAGGAAGGCAATGGCAAACCACCTTGAGTAGTCTCAAATATAGTGCCGTTCGGATTCGGCGATAAACTGTAGGTCCCGTGTACTTGTGAAACACTGATGACACACATCACAAGTACATGCGAGAGGTAGCCGACGCTCTATATAGAGTATGGCACTGTAAGAAGAAGAACTGCTTTAAAGTTGTAATTCTGTTTTTCAATCGTCTTACTGTCATCTGTAAATTGTGAATTTTTTTTTGTTGGCTCATGTCACGTTTCTTAACAAATTCCAAATTTCTTCTGCGTTTTTCTGGAGTAGAGAAATCACTGCTTCCCATGTCTCCTATGTATTTTCTCTTCCTAACAATAAAGAGAATTAAAAATTTGAAATTAGTACTGTATGATCGAAAAAAAAATCGGCGTCCAGTTGGCTGCGAAATGACGATCAATGACATTTCCCATATCAATTTATATATAAAATGACAGCGATCTTCATTTCATAGCCATCGCTGACGATGTTTTTTTCGACCATACAGTTCCATACAGTTCTAACTAAAATATAAATCATAAGAAGTTATAAGTATCTTCTAGCAAAAGCCTGTTTTGGTAGGTTCTCAGTAGAATGTAAAATTGAAGATGGGGAAGAAGAAGCTTGCTTTTCAAACAATCTATAAATAAAAAGAGTACCTATGTAGTTGTTATAACAAAACGCATTCAATAATAATAGCCAATTTTAAAGAATAATAATTATTAATATTCAATCGATTCAATTACCGAATTGAATAAAAAATGGTTTATTAAGTTTTTTAGAATCTAATTTAGATACAAATTTGAATGTTTCAAGTTAAGGATATTTCCAAATGTTCTTTCTTTTTAAAATATTGCCCACTTTCTTGCACTTAGCAGCTGCCAATTTGCTTATAAATAGATCCCGCTATTTATTTTTTTATTTTTGGGATTCTACATGAAATGTTAAAAACATTCAATGTATAATATAATAGATTTAAGTTTATCCAATTTTTTATTAATTTCAATTGGAAACATTACATTTATAAAACGAAAGATAAATAAATGTTTTCCAGCATCAGTGCATGTTTTCATATATTTATGTTCGTTGATATTTTTTTTACTAGATCATACGTAGCTGTGAAAACTGGTGTTAAATAACTAATTTTTTAATTTCACCAGGAGAAATTTACTATTCTGCTTATTCGCAACTTTCTAGTTATATCAAAAAATAACACCAGTCAATCACTAACCAGTCATATCTATTTCACTCGGTGGTTTTATACAGGTACGGACAAAAAGTTGTTATTCTTCAAAACAGTTAATAAAAAACATGTAGGTGGCGCCCCCTACAAATAGGAGTCATATTGACATCAAAATCAAATTTATCATGTCAAAGAACTCCCAGATACCAATTTTCATCCATATAGTATTGACGTTACTTTACAAATTATTTGAAAAAAAAATCGAAATAAAAATGAAACTTTTACACCCAGTATCTCCAAAACTAAGGATTTCAGGACATACATTTATACGATTTTTTTTACTTATTTTTATCTGCAGAATATACTGCTGAATTTTCCGGAATACAGTTCGGACCACCCTATATAGAGGGGCTCTATTTTAATTCCCTATGGGAATATTAATATTAATATTCGCAAAAGGCTTTAAAATAGACCAACTGCAACACTGTATAAAAGAAACTTAGTCTGCATAAGAGTCTCATGAAAGTTCTGTCGAGGTACAACTGAAGTAAAATATAATAATGATAAAATATATGATTACCTTCCCAATTTTTCTGTTTCTGATTCTGTTTCTGCACTCAGCGAAGAAGAAGATGGCATTTTCTCCAAAATTGTAGGTGATTCCCTGCAAAAACAAAAAATTATACAGGGTGTGGTCCAGAACTGTATTCCGGAAACTTCGGCAGCATATTCTGCAGATAAAATAAGAAGTAAAAAATTTGTATAAATGTATGTCCTAAAATGGTTTCAACTTTCGGAGATACAGGGTGCAGAAATTTCATTTTATTTCGATTTTTTCAAATAAGTTATGGTAACGTCCATATTTCGATGAAAATTGGTGCATAGGAGTTTTTTGACATGAGGAATTTAATTTTCATGCCAACATGGCTCCTATTTGTAGAGGCACCACCTACATGTATTTTAACTGTTTTGAAGAGTAACTTTTCGTCCGTACCTGTATAAAACTACTGAGTAAAAAATATACATTTACGACTTTACGTAAAAAAGGTCTCTTGGTAAAAATCGCTACGAGTAATGGTTCTCGAGATATTTGGAGTCGTAATTATCCATACCTGTCATTGACATAAATTAAACATCTTGACTAAATAGTTATTAGACTGAAATCATAAATTTGAAATATTTTTGTGTCAAAAGTTCAACAAAAACTGTTTTATTATCATTTTTTCGCAGAAAAAGTTATGATTAATTAAAAAAATTAAAAATTTCACAAATTTATTGTTTCAGTGAAATAACTATCAACTCAACGTGTTTATTTTTTGTAAATAATGACATGTATTGACTATTTCCATTCTAAATATCTTGAGAACGGTTGCTCGTAGCGATGTTTACCAAGAGACATTTTTAACGCAGAAAATCACGAAAATGTATATTTTTTCACTCAGTTGTTTCATACAGGTACGGACGAAAAGTTATTACACTTCAAAACAGTTAAAACACATGTAGGTGGCGCCCTCTATAAGTAGGAGTCATATTGACATCAAAATCAAATTTCTCATGTCAAAAAACTTCCAGACACCAATTTTCATCCAAATATGGACGTTACTTCAGAAATTATTTAGAACAAATTGAAATAAAAACGAAACTTCTACACCCTGTATCTCCGAAACTAAGCATTTTAGGACATACATGTATACGAACTTTTTTACTTATTTTTATCTGTAGAATATGCTGCCGAAGTTTCAGGAATACAATTCGGACCACCCTGTATTTTTATTAAATATACAAGGCCTGGCATCTGGAGCTCCTATAATAAAAAAGTTAAAAATGTTGTTTAAGTGCAACCCTAAAGTATGTATTACGATGTATTTCAGGAAAATACTTTAACTTCTACAGGGTGGCTCAAAAAAATGCGAGTTGATCGTGATGATTTTTTTAAAATGGAACACCCTGTATAATATTGCATTTTTTAAATAAAAAAAAATCTTTTCAGCATTTTTTATAAAAATATTTAAAATACTAGAAATCTCCTAAAATCGAAACTATATTAGGTATTTACTGTAGTGGGTCTGGGTCTGTACTTACTTTGACACAAATATCGTAATCTTAAACCTTACAGGGTGTCTAAAATTCTGAAAAAAATATAAAATAGTTTTTCTTCGTTTTTTTTTAAACCAAACAGCTTGTATATTATTTCTTTGTTAGATGGAGAATTAAAAAATACATTTTTTGTATTAAAAGTATTTCAAAAATTTTAGCCGTTTTGCAAATATTCGCTGTTTTATTACATATGGCTCTTTCAACGGTAAAATACGAGAGAAAAATCATTGGGTGGCTTTGATAAAAATTTACTGTGGAAAATGCCACAGGAAATATAAAACCGCGAATATCTGCGAAACCGTTAAAAATTTTGAAATACTTTAAATTCAAAAATTGTTCATTTTTTAATTATCCATCTAGCAAATAAATAATGTATAGGTTCCATTAAAAAACGAAGAAAAACTATATTATATTTTAGAAAGTTTGGCAGAGAATTTTGAACACCCTGTATGGTTTAAGATTACGATATTTGTGGCAAAATAAGTACAGACCCACTACAGTAAATACCTAATACAGTTTTGATTTCAGGATATTTCTTGTATTTTTAATATTTTTTTTAATATTTTACATGGTATTGTATTTTTAATATTTTACATGGTAACTTATTACGTTTGCACTTAGTTCAGTTAGTTTGGGTAGTGTCCACATATTATTGCCTAAATATGTAGGTGTTACACTACACAGTTTTGTCTGCTCGAGTGCATAGTTCAAGTTGTAATGATGTCTCGAGAACTAACAAAAAAATTATGAAAAATTATTATTAGAACAAGTGTGATTACACAGTATTACATATAGTATATTGATAATTAAAATTTTACAAAAATACAAATTATAATAGGTACAAATGTCATTTTTACAGTATTGTATCTAGTATATTGATAATATTAACAATTAAAATGTAAAAAATAAAAAGAGTTTAAGTTTTAAATAGTATAATATAGTTAAAATTGAAAAAAGAAATTAAAATTTTAAATAATAAAATACAGTTAAAAATCTTAAAATTTCTGGCTGAATATATCATCATCCTCAACTAAGACACTTAGAGATTTCTTATGCGTCCTTTGAGTGTTTACATCATCACCTTCTTCTTCAGAATCTAGACTAATCCTAGACACTAGCAGTGATGATTCTGGTTGCGAAAGTTTTACCTTTTTTCTACTAGGACCGCTCTCTGTGTTGTTGGGATTCCTCCTCTTCATCCTCGTTATCCTAACGGATTTTAAAGTTAAATCTTCTTAATGATGTTTCAAACAATTTTAGATATTTTTCCTTGTCAAACATTTTTATTCTGATGTATTGTATGGGCAAGTCTCCAATTTTTTTTTTGATGTCATGGAGTATAGGTCAGACATATAAATATTTTATCCCCTTTAATGGATATATCTTTCACACCAAAACTGAAACGAAAAATAAAAATACTCATTAAACAAGAAAGGAGAAGTCATTTCTCTCATAACCACTAAACCCACATCTAGGGGAAAATTTGATTTTTCTAATGATTTAATTATGATGGTGGATGGAACGTTAGCCATTTTTTCAAATTATTGCTGAACTATTAGAGTAACTGTGTGAATGCAAGCGTTTTAATTTTTGCTGGCTATTTATACATGTTTTAAAAGATAAAAACTAACCAAATCAACAAGTAACGTTTCACTTATAAATTGTGTTTTTCTTCATATGTAGAGTTAAGATTAACAAAGCATTATATTTTAATGTTAATTGTACTAATAGATACTGGAATTAAATTATTTTTTAATTTTTCTATTAAAATAAGGGTTTGCAGCACCCCTTCTCACTATACACAGAACCAATAAATTGCGTTTTTCTTCATATGTAGAATTGTGATTTAACAACGCATTGTATTTTACTGTTATGATGTGTACTAATAGGTACACTGTAAAAAATCAGCCCGAGGAGTGAACACATATTTCTCAGGGAGTGAATTTCTTAAGTGAAATAATTGAGTACATTTTCATCTAAAATAGAGTAAATTCATTATTTTACTCAAATATGATCTCTGTTTAATCAATAGCGAATGTGCACAATACTGTGTAGTAATTAATGTTTGACAAGATAGAGGTACATTTATATTTTTAATATCCTCTTTCTTTTTACATGGTAACTTATTACGTTTGCACTTAGTTCAGTTAGTTTGGGTGGTGTCCACATATTATTACGTAAACATGTAGGTGTGCTACACAGTTTTGTCTGCTCGAGTGCATAGCTCATGTTGTAATGATGTCTCGAGCACTAACAAAAAAATTATGAAAAATTATTATTAGTACAGGTGTGATTACACAATATTACATATAGTATATTAATAATTAAAATTAAAAAAATACAAATTATTATAGGTACAAGTGTGATTTTACAGCATTATATCTAGTATATTGATAATATTAACAATTAAAATGTAAAATAAAAAAGTTTAAGTTTTTAAATAGTATAATATAGTTAAAACTGAAAAAAAGCAATTAAAATTTTAAATAATATAATACAGTTAAAAATCTTAAAATTTCTGGCTGAATATATCATCATCCTCAACTAAGACACTTAGAGATTTCTTATGTCCTTTCAGTGTTTACAACATCATCACCTTCTTCTTCAGAATCTAGACTAATCCTAGACACCAGCAATGATGATTCTGGTTGCGAAACTTTTACCTTTTTTTCTACTAGGACCGCTCTCTATTTGTTGTTGAGATTCCTCCTCTTCATCCTCGTTATCCTAACGGATTTTAAAAGTTAAATCTTCTTAATGCTGTTTCAAACAATTTTAGATCTTTTTCCTTGTCAAACATTTTTATTCTGATGTATTGTATGGGCAAGTCTCCAAATATTTTTTTTATGTCGTGGAGTATAGGTTAGACATACAAATATTTTATCCCCCTTTAATAAATATATATTTCACACCAAAACTGAAACGCAAAATAAAAAATACTCATTAAACAAGAAAGGAGAAGTCATTTCTCTCATAACCACTAAACCCACATCTAGGGGAAAATTTGATTTTTCTAATGATTTAATTATGATGGTGGATGGAACGTTAGCCATTTTTCAAATTATTGCTGAACTATTAGAGTAATTGTGTGAATGCAAGCGTTTTAATTATTACTGGCTATTTATACATGTTTTAAAAGATAAAAAAATTAACCAAGTCAACAAGTAACGTTTCACTTATAAATTGTGTTTTTCTTCATATGTAGAGTTAAGATTAACAAAGCATTATATTTTAATGTTAATTGTACTAATAGATACTGGAATTAAATTATTTTTAATTTTTTTCTATTAAAATAGGGTTTGCAGCACCTTCTCACTATACAGAACCAATAAATTGCGTTTTCTTCATATGTAGAATTGTGATTTAACAACGCATTGTATTTTACTGTTATGATGTGTACTAATAGGTACACTGTAAAAAAATCAGCCCGAGTGAACACATATTTCTCAGGGAGTGAATTTCTTGAGTGAAATAATTAAGTACATTTTCATCTAAAATAGAGCAAATTCATCATTTTACTCAAATATGATCTCTATTTAATC